ATCGTTTTTATAGCCTTCTCTGATGAGATATTCACTTAACCGGTTATACCACATATGTCCGCTTTGTTTCAGTCCATATAAGGATTTGTCCAGCCTTATGCAGTGCTGTTCCCGAGAATCTTTCTTATCTTTGAGCTCAATACCCTCTGGTAATCTCATATATTATCCAGTGGACTTATATAAATATGCAGGCATTACATCCATTAGCCGCAAATCTTTCTCTTTTATATAGCCAGACTTAGCAAAGATTTAAATGTCTTAGCATCCACCACAGGGGAGTATATCTCCTCTATTTCTGGTCTTTGTGTGAATCCTTGTGCGACAAGCCGTGTCTGATATATCACGCTTTCACTATGTTTATTTCACATAATCACAAAGACTCATTTGTCCCACTGGCTTTACATTGAATGGTGTCCTTCGTATTGGACCAAACACATTCTTCTTCTTGATAATTATTAGCTCCACGTTTTATGGTCTTGTACCATTTTAATCAATCAGGTCTTTGAGTGCACTCTAGTATAGACGTGGGCTCCTGATCCTCATTCATTTCAGTTGCTACCTTGTGCGCAAATATTTTATCATTGATGTCGACATATTTTCTGTTCCATTGTATTCTAGACATGATATAGTTTATAGAGATCTCTTTACACCTTCAGGACCTTGAGGTTTGGCGTCCCAAACCTCATTGATTGGTACCTTAGGGTTATGTCTATTAGCTGGCCATGTTTATGGTTTCTTGAACCTTCTCGGTTTCCCTTGCACCTTTCTTTGATTTCCGAGGGTTCTTGTCTTTGGAACCTTTTGGGTCTACCACATTTCTTACGTGTTGTAGCCTCTGTAGCAACTTGATTGTGTTCCTTGTGAACATCAATACGTACTGGTGCATTACAAGCTGGTATGTACGATTTTGTTACTCTCTTTGGGTCATTATAGGAATCTTGGCAACTGTTTTAGCTAGCTTTTGCAGATATATAGTCTTTTGGATCTCTGATGGAGTCCGAGGATCTTGCCATGTGAAGGATGTTTGATTCCATGTAAGTTCTTTGACCAGCTTGTTAGTCTCTCCACTTAGTATTGGGAAAACGGATTCATTGAGATGACAATCCTTGAATCTGGCCTTTGGCTCGAGATACTTAATGATGGTGGGAGAATCATTGTTAACGTATATTCCCATCCCCTTTTGAGGTCCCATCATTTGCTCTCTGTGGTGGTGCAATGGGTACATAGACTAAACACCCAAATGTCTTAAGATGGGAAACGTCTGGCTCATGACCCGTTAGCAATTGGGATGGGGAATATCTATGCTCACTAGAATGGCCTGATGCGTATAAGCTCTTGTTGCATGTAATATTGTGTGTCCCCAAGCAGCTACTGTCAGTTCAAGTATGGACATGTGCCACGGGGTATACTACTCTCCCCCTCATGGACATACTGTAGCCATAAAACGCTTGAGACATAATTTACCAGCATTATCTAGACATATAGTCTTAAGTATGTGGGCTCACAGACTTATGGTCTGGGCCAGCAATCTAGCAAACACCAAGTTTCTAGTTGCTTTGACTGGTGATGACCTTAGTATGGGTTTCCCTTGTGTACATGCTGCACACGTGAGGTCCTTAAGGAGTGTGCCCTTTTGATTTTAATATCAGCTTTACGCATCATGTTAGAACCAGGCTGGCCAAGCCGGTCATGCCATTAGTGAATTTCTCAGTAAACCCTTTTGTTTACTTTATTAGCCTTTATCATATTGACCTTGGCATAGTAAAGATCTATGATGCGGGTATAGTCTCTAAGACCTTCTCATGGTCTTGGGTGCTCTTAGTAATATATGGGAATCCTTTGTTCCCTTCACCCTTAGTTTCAATGTGAAAACCATTCAAACACATTTCTTTGAAACTCAACAAGCCCCCTTGAGCTAGGTGAATATGAAGCATCTGAGGATGCGTGCCCTTGGGAATATGGGCCTGCCATGGGCCTGCCCTTAGCCTTCACTAAATTTAGCTATACCCGCAATTTGGCTAATGAACCATGTCTTTAGATATTTCGTTTATTAAATTCTCATAGTCATCTATCTCATGGTCGAAATCTTCTTCACCATCGTGATGAACTAAATGAGCTTCTAGATTCTTTTCAAACTCTCTTGATAGAGATCAACGAGATGCTTAGGTGTCCTGCACGTCTTAGTCCAATGGTTTCCCCATTCCTTATTAGTGGTAAACAAGTTTATTTGAGTGTTGTGGTTTGGGTATACCGCGGCCTCTACCTCGATTACGACCAAAGTCGGGTCGGCGGCCTTAACCATATGAATGGTTTCCTTGATCATAATATAAATTATAATTGCCACTTCTACCACGTTCATTCCATTTACCATGACTGTGGCCATGATACTTATCTCTTTGGACGTGGTTAGACTTTTTAGGCTCTTTAGGCTCTTCAGCCCAACGGGCTTCTGATAATGGGGTAGGACCAGGAGGTCTCATTTCACTATTTATAACTCATTGTTTTGCTCAGCAAGTAGCATATCAGAATCAATGTTCTCATCACGGTTTCTCCAAAGCCTCACTCCTTAGCACTCTCTACAGAGGAGTCCTCCCCAAAAACAAGAGTTTAGACTTGCATATGTGGTAAAAACCTTTTTCACGATATTGTTGCTGAGGCAATATATTGTTTGTGTGAAAGGTCGAGAATGCTTTCTCTAGCAAGTCATTCTCAGTAACTTCCTCATCACGGAATCTCAGTATTGACACTATTTTAAATAGTGCTGAGTTATACTCATTCATGGATTTGAATTCCTGGAATCTGAGATTCTTTCGATCGAATCGGGCTTTTGGGTAATAGCACCGTCCTGAGGTCCAGAGGATTCTTAATAGTGAGGTACTGATTTTGAGACTCTCATTGAGGTGATGGCGTATGTTAGTAATCGCCTTATATCTTTCTCTTCTGGTGACATTGTTTTCTTCCACAATAGATTCACCAAGCCCCTTTTTCCTTTAGGATAATCTCAGTGTCCAAAGCCCATTGTAAATAATTGTTACGAGAGGCATTGAGTGCCGTGTATTCATAATAGTTGATTTCTGACATCTATAATATATAGAGTTAAATGAGAACTCATGTAATCGGTTAGACCAAGTCATGCGGTATTTAAGACCGAGCCATGCTTGTCTTCAGCAAGTGTTTTCTAAACAATCATATTATATATATATATATATATATGGATGAAATCAACCCTAGAAGATTGATCTAGTATGCAACAACCAAACAATCGGATCATACTAGATTAGGATATTAGGATTTCTCGGTTAAGTTTTAGGGTTTTAGCATCCGCGATTTATAGTACTAGGGTTTTTGCTAGGATTTCGGTTTTATGTATGGAACTTTCTATTTATGGAAACTTTCCTTATATGGAACTTTCCATTTATGGAAACTTTCTATTTCTCATCTAGAAAGAAATCCTAAACAAACGTGTACTTTAGGGTTTTTGGAATATTTCCTTATGAAGGGGTTTCCTATTTTGGTAACTTTCCATTTTGGGAAACTTGCTATTTTACGAAACTTTCTATTTCTGTAAACTTTCCTTATATGGAACTTTCTATTTCTGGAAACTTTCTATTTCTGGAAACTTTCCATTTATGAGAAGCTTGATCTTAAATCGTGACTTAGGGTTTATTAAACCGGTTTAACCTAGTATTTAGGGTTTCGGTTTACTTTCGGTTTAACCTAGGGTTTATATTAAAACATTCAATCTATCATGCCATTAAACATCTTTCCATTCACTAACTTCTCAATTAATTCTTCAAATACATATGTCTTTGTATACATGTATTTTACACTAGAGAGATTCTCAAGCTAACCACGTTATACCAAATTAACGATAGATTTACATAAAATAATATAAAGCACTAAGCATCATAATTCAAAATTATCGATTTACTAAACCTGAGTCAATCGTTCATAAATTATACGTATATCAAATACTAGATCAACTCAGTTGGAGCAAAGTTATGTGATTATTTTATGTCATCTTAAGATTAAAGCATGATGTGATAATGGTGTAAAACATAAATACTTATCTCGATTGAAAGCTTTTCCTTAGTAATCTCGACGATCGTTTGCGGAGATGGAGAACAAAACATCGCTACGGTTTTGCGAGATTTTGTTTTTACTTCACCACGAGATATTAATCATCCCTTCAAACAAAAGACCCACTTTATCAAACCAACTATAGACCAAACCAAAGTCAATGATGAATGAATACCAAATAACTAAAAGCATGTTCAAGGTAAATCAGTGATAAAACATGTGTCGATCAATAATAAAATATAGTTTGGTAACAACTCACGTTTTAAACAAAGCAATTAATAATAAACATATGTCGATCAATGGTGAAGTATGATGAAATCTAGCTTTTAAAATATCATGATGGAGTAGATATCACGGTTATGTACTTGAGAAAAATTAAAGTATTATAATGAGATCTGAGCATAACATGATAAAGCATTCTTAACCAAACAAATAGAATCAAACAAAAAAAAAACATGATGGCGATGAGATCGTGAAGCCATATAAATAGGCTGGACAATAAATTTTGATTTAAGTAAATGAGACCAAAGCGATATAAATCATGAGCAGAACCATAATTAAATACGAGGCCACTTATCTTTTAGAATAAAACTTAGGCTCGTAGGGATCGGAGATCAAAAGCGGAGATGGAGACAAGATGATGAAAAACTGAGACATCATCGATTAGGGTTTCGATAGAATTTTTTTTTTTTTTCTTAATTCAGACGGCCAGGGTTTTTGGTTTTTGTGAGAGATTTAGGGTTTTGAGATTTTTAGCTTTTAGGGTGAGAGGCTATCGTGCTGATAACGTGTTGTGAACTGTGTCTTTCATTAATAGAATAATGGATATATATACAAGGATAATAGCAGGATACAGAGAATAAGGTAAAACCCTAATGGGCCATGGGCCGGTTATGGAGTCCATCCATATGGTTTATAACACAAATCTTTTTCTTATCCATGGTGAATAAACGAGGCGATTGCATCACGAGGACGAGGTTTGCTAGCATTATCCCAAATTAAAAATGACGGCCAAACCTGTCACTGCCACGTGTCACCCTGATCTCCTTTTGGCTTCGTTTGGAGCTCACCGGTCGCGTCTTTATCCTCTCATCATCTTCCTCGAAACGTACAACACACAAAAATTGTCTATAAAGATTGCAAATTTCAATCATTAAATATCTGATTCAAAACGCATTTGGTAGGCTGAGAAAGAATTAGGATCACAAAGGATGGATCACGCCGCAGATGCTCACCGTACGGATTTGATGACCATTACAAGATTCGTGTTGAATGAACAATCAAAGTATCCAGAATCTCGTGGTGATTTCACCATTTTGCTTAGTCACATCGTTTTGGGTTGCAAATTCGTTTGCAGTGCTGTTAATAAGGTACTAAAGTTTCGATTTTTATACAATTTTTTTGTGTGTGTCAGGGCTTAAAACATATGATGTCGCTTTCAATTTTGTTGTGTAAAGTTTCGATTTTTATGGGTTGTTGATGATGATCTGGAATTCTCTTTTAAAATTTGTGGAGTTGTCTCAATCGTCTTTAGTGTTTTATGATGGCCCATTGAGAAAGTTTTGATTTTTATGTTTGTTGCAGGCTGGTTTGGCTAAGTTAATTGGTCTTGCAGGAGAAACAAACATTCAGGTATGTTTATGGTTTTTGGTTCTAATGATAAGATTATTGGATTTGGTTCTTTTTTCGTGGCTTGAGATTTCATTTTTTTTTGTGTTAATAAGGGTGAAGAGCAGAAGAAACTTGATGTGCTCTCTAATGATGTTTTTGTCAAAGCTCTGGTTAGCAGTGGAAGAACTGTAAGTGTTTATTGACTTGCTATGAAGTTGAAAAGAGTCAGGCATGTCTTCTCACTGTTTTTGGCAATTGAAACTTTGTGGTAGTCTGTTCTTGTCTCGGAGGAAGATGAGGAAGCTACGTTTGTTGAGCCATCCAAGCGTGGAAAGTAAGTTAAAAATTGATCTCTTGTTGGTTTAGGCGCGTATGAAATGGTTATTGTCATCCGCTTATTCGAGTCTTTTTCTGTTATTAATAGGTACTGTGTTGTTTTCGATCCACTTGATGGATCTTCAAACATTGACTGTGGTGTTTCCATTGGAACAGTATGTTTCTTTATCTAACCCAAGTTTTCTGTTTTACATTGAAAGAGGGCTTGGATAATGAATCATGTGAAAAAAAGTTTGTCTTTTGTGTTTGTTTTCATCGTGTGTAGATTTTTGGGATTTACACGTTGGACCACACTGATGAGCCAACCACTGAAGATGTTCTGAAACCTGGGAATGAAATGGTGGCGGCGGGTTATTGTATGTATGGAAGCTCCTGCATGGTACTGAAAATGAAATTCCCAAAGGCAATATTAGTATCAATTAGTCTGATTAGTTATTTCTAGATTTTTAATTTTATGTGATTGGATTGCTCAGCTTGTGTTGAGCACTGGAACGGGTGTCCACGGGTTTACTCTCGACCCATCTCTAGGAGAGTTCATTCTAACTCACCCGGACATTAAGGTAATATGAACTTATAAAACAATGATCGTTCTCTCTTTTTATAAATTTTTTAAGACTCATTAGTGTTTCTTGTGCACAGATTCCAAATAAGGGAAACATTTATTCAGTGAATGAAGGCAATGCGCAGAACTGGGATGGTCCAACTACAAAGTATGTAGAGAAATTGATTAAATCTGATCCAAGTCATCAGCTGACTTGATATATTCATGGTTTTCGCTGTTGGTGTAGGTATGTAGAGAAATGCAAGTTTCCTAAAGATGGTTCTCCTGCAAAGTCTCTGAGATACGTTGGAAGGTATTATATGGGACCCTTTTCTATGTTAAAGCTCCGTCATAGAAAATAGCCTATGGTTTGGTCCCCTTTTGGTTAATTTCATTTTGTTAACAGTATGGTAGCCGATGTTCATCGCACACTACTTTATGGAGGAATCTTCTTGTACCCAGCTGACAAGAAAAGCCCCAATGGGAAACTGCGGTAAGTTTAGGATTTGGCTGTTCAAATATATAACAATTGAAAGGTCGTTCTGGTTTTGAGTTTTATTGCATCTCCATAAACTGTTAAAAACCAGCAGAAAACTAAGCTATTGTTTTGGCTTACATATGTGAATAGTGTGTTGTATGAAGTTTTCCCGATGTCGTTCTTGATGGAACAAGCCGGAGGTCAGGCCTTTACGGGAAAGAAAAGGGTATAAATTCTCCTCTTTACCCTGATTTTCTTATTTGACACTTGACAGAAATATGAAGGTTTTGTTGGTTATTCGGTTTACTGGTAAAGTATTTTTACATTTCAATGTCCTGATGCAGGCACTAGACCTTGTCCCGGAGAAGATCCATGAGCGTTCTCCGATATTTCTTGGTAGCTACGACGATGTAGAGGAGATTAAGGCTCTGTATGCTGAGGAGGAAAAGAAGAACTAAGCTTCTCATTCTTCTTTTTTTCTCTTACTGTCTCTGTCTCTCTTATTCCTATATACAGTATCTTCTTCTGATGAGACGAACATAACTCATTTACAAAAGGAAGACCTTTCTTTACCTTAAATGCACATAAAAATCTTCCTTCTTTCATATCCTTAATTTTTCTTCAGCTTCGAACATCCAATTTTAGATCATTCCAAGCTTGTCTTTTGATTGATCCCACCTTACGCCACAAAGAAAAAAAAAGAACTTTATTTCAAGTTTGGGAAAACAGCTTCCAATTATCTTAACCTTTTAAATTGGAGATCATACAGCGAAAACATTTGAGCTTTCAATTTATGGATTGGATTTTGCTAGATGTTGTTTGTCTCTAAAATTAGTTATATAAAATGTGTACTTGGATACAATTTTGTAGGGGTGGGCGTATGGTTTTTCGGTTTTACAAAAACTGAAACCATATAGAAACCGAATGTAATTCGGTTTGGTTACGGTTGAATTTTTTGGTTTTACGGATTTCCAGTTTTATAAATCATATGTATTTCGGTTCGGTTCCGGTTTTTTAAGGTTATTCCATGTTTTAACAAAAAAAATGCAATGCATAAATAAAACTAAAAGTCGAATAAAAATAATATATTAATAACTATAAATTACTAGGAAATCAATAATTATAAGCCCAATAAGGAAAAAATAATGATACACCGTTTTGTCTTATATATCATAATATCCTTTCGATGCTTCGACAATGTCCATAAATTACTCGTTTTTTATATGAGATTAATATAGACTTGGCTCTCTCTTTACATATTTATTGGCCAATATATCTCTTTACGTTCACAGAGCGGAGATTATGATCCTCATTGATCACATTTTGCGCGCTATATCATTTTTAGTGTCGTCATTATATTTTCTTTGATTTCATATTTTTTCGTAGTGACATGGTTAATCGAGATATCTTAATGATTAAAAAGAATTATATTCAGGTACCAGATTTCGTTATTAAACATGTCAATCGGTCTCTTCATTCCTCTTGAGGAGTCACTTTGCTCCGTTTTAGGAGTCTATATGCTCCTCTTTTACGAGTTTAATCATTTTTTTAATAATTACTAGGTGAATATCCACGCTACACGTGGACTGTTGTTTTGAAAATTGATAAAAATAAATTATACAGACTGTTCTTTGCTGCTATTATATGTAGTTACGATTTTGATGGTTGGATTCATTTTTAACTCGAAATATACCTTTTCATATATAAATCTAATTATCCATATACCTAAGATTTTAATTTTTTTTACTATCATAAATACAGACAACAATATTTGATATATTGATACAACGGTATGTACAGTAAAACCTCTATAAATTAATAATGTTGGGACCATGATATTTTATTAATTTATAGTGATATTAATTTATCTATAAATTAATAATTATTAATTTATAGTGTAAATTAATATTTATTAATTTATAGAAAGTTTTGTTTCAATTGTAAAAACTTTTTTAAAAAAATACGAGTTAAAGCAATGTGATCTAACTAAGATTAATGTTTTGGATGTTATAAATTTTTTAGTTTTAGCCTTAAACACTTAATATTTCGAAAAAAATAATTTATTTTGACAATGAATAACAACGATTATAGAATTCACATATACAAACGATATACATAAATTAAAATTCACAAAGACATCCATTGTTGTATTTTAAAAACATATACAACTATTAAAAAAAAAATTATGCATATTCAAAATTTGAAAACTTACAAAACTTTTTGGCTATTTTTATGAAAAACACTAAAACTATTATATATATATATATATATATGTGAAAATTACATGATTATTAATTTATGATATTATTGGGACTATATTTTTACATAGGGATTTCAAAAAAATTATTATCTTATTATCTTATCGAATTTGGTTAATTTTTACATTGGCCCGACTCGGGACCGGCCAAATTTATTAATTTATCGTGTTTATTAAATTATCGAGTATTAATTTATAGAGGTTCTACTGTAATTCTCTTCTATATATTAAAAGAGGGTTTTTTTAGTGCATATGTGTCAAACCTATAATTAATTTCATCTTTTTATGTTTTCATTTGTTTAATTCTACTATCCATCTTGCCAAACAATTTTAATTCCATATATTACTTACTCTTATTAACTAAACTTAGCAAAATTAAATATCTCGAACTTTCAAATAAGAAAACTACTATATAAAGATTATTTATATTAAATGCATTGTGTTTTTGATTGAAAACATAAATAATGTAAGCATATAGTATATGCATTTTGTCACCAACAAATTCTTTCATATATTATTAAAAAAAATGAAACTACGAATCTATAAGTCTAAATTTATGAATGACGTAAATTCAACTTTATTTGTATAATATAAACCATGAAAATATTTAAAATCTAATTTGTAGTTTTATTTATCGACTAAAAAATTGTGTTATTACATGGTATTTATATAGCCTTATTTTCGTTTAAAACCTTTAACGCATTTACAAATATTATATCTGACATCTCAGGATTCAATATTAAACTTTGATTTTTTTTAAATCGCCCTATTATAAAATTAAATAACATAAGATTTATATGTGCATAACACGGCTTGTTACCTAGTGTTACTTATATAGTTTGAAACTTGCCGAACTTTTTTTTGGTAAGAGAGGGGAGACTACTCTCCCATATTATTAAGAAAAATTAAAAATTAAAAACGAATTTGTCTTGGGCGCGCAGACCCAATCGCGTCATCGCTTAGAAGTAAATCATGAACAACAAGCAGAAAAACATCAAAAGCATGAAAGCCAATCAGCAAAAAAAAACGCATAGTTCGCTAACCCATCCGCTACACGTTTAGCTTCCCTATACACATGCGCCAAACGGACTATCCAGTCCTTCGACACAAAGCCATGACACAAACGTACCAGGAATGACAGTGGATGCCTCTCGCTCACCCCCGTCTTTAAAAGATCAACAACCAACTCCAAATCTACCTCCACTTCCAATCGTCTTATTCCTCGCTCCCAGGCAATATAAAGACCGTAGTACACACCCCATAGTTCCACCAAAGGTGCCGTACATCGACCAATATTCAGAGCAAACCATCCACGCCAAACTCCATCCCCATCCCGTAAAACCCCTCCTGCCGTCGCCAGTCCCAGATTACCCCGGGAATCACCATTCATATTGAGTTTAATCCAACCTTCCGATGGGGCCACCCAGCCTACCATGGTTTCAATCCTGTTCACGTGCGAGTTAGCCAATTTTTTCTTCAAACTAGCCAAGGTTACCTCTTGTGCTTTGTCCTTGATAAACTTTGTTCTATCTCGATATTTTCCATTATTCCCAAATACATTATCACACCACCATAGCAATAGTCGCAGACCATATGCTCTCAAAGGCCTTACCATCATCACCAAGGTTATCAAACACCCATTCAAGTACCGATTGCTCAAAAAGGTGCTACTCCTCTGCATGGGCACTATCTGCTCCCAACCCCCCGCATTGCTTGGCAATCTCTGAGAATGTGTATGGTTGATTCACTCCCTGCCTTGCAAACTTGGCATACATCTGAAGGACACATGTGTCGTCAGAACCTTTCCGTGTTCATCATCAAGGCTTGGTTACCAAAAAGCCAGAGAAAAATCCTCACTATCTCAGACGCAACCAATTTCCAAATCTGACTATAAAACGCAGTCAGGTTAGTCCTCGGTTCATCATTCCTCACCAACGCTGCATAAGCGGATTCTACCGAAAACTCCCCATCCTCAACTTCCCAGCTATTCATCCTTCCAAAATCGAACCTGGCCACCATCTCCGATTACCCACTTGGTATCCGGTATCACCACTTTCCTTAAACCTGTCATTCTGCTCAGGTAGGTCGATGACCAAGAGCTCTTCACCACAAGCCAAGAATTATCTCTAACATCACCCACTATGTATTTTTTCCTTAAAACTCGTGCCCACAGACTGCTATCATCATGGATTAGTTGCCACCCAAGCTTTTCTATAAGGGCCATGTTCGTATCCTTCGCCGCTCTTCTCCCAGCCCGCCATCTGATTTTGCTACCGTAACTCTGTTCCACGATACCAGATGCTGCTTCTTGTGTTCTAATGAATTTTCCCAAACAAAAGAGCGAGACAATTGTTCTAACTTATCCAGAATCGATTTTGGTAAGCAGATTGTACTCATAGCGTGAATAGGAATCAAAGTCAAGACTGCTCTTGGCAACGTAACACGTCTTGCCAGACTCAAAAACTGGCCCTTCCAACCAAATAACCGTGAAGTCATCTTCTCTAAAACCTCCCCAAAAGTATCCTTGTTAATTCACTTCTGTAAAATTGGCATTCCTAGATACTTACCTAGATCCTTTGCGACTTTGATCCCGCTTTCATCGCTAATGAGCTTCTCCAAATCTCTCGACACATTTTGCGAGAAGTAAATCTTTGATTTTTCAAGGCTGATTTTCTGTCCAGAAGCATTGCAAAACGTCTCAAGAACCCTCCGTATGATTTGTATTTGCGAGACTGACGCTTCCGCAAAGAGTATGAGATCATCGACTGAGAGAGTTTTGGACCTCCTTGAGAGATACTAATTGGCTTGCTTCTCCATTATTGACCTGTCAATCATATGACAACATCTCCATTCACGACACAAAAAGATAAGGAGATAATGGATCTCCCTATCTAAGTCCTCTCAAAGGCTGAAAAGATCCCGTTCTCTCCCCATTCCAGAGTAGATTCATGTCCAGACCCAACACGCATTGCATAACCCGACTAGTCCACGCCTCCGAAAACCCGACGGCAAGTAAGGTATCTACCAAAAAGTCCCATCGAATCCGATCATAGGCTTTCTCTAGGTCCGGTTTCAAGAGCATCCACCCGCATCTTCCTTTCTTCCGTCTCATAGAGTGAACTGCTTCTTGGATCACCACAATATTATCCATGCTCAATCTTCCTGGAATAAAGCTTGCCTTGGCAAGCCATAGCAACTTATCCATCACACTCTTCAACCTTCCCACCATAGTCTTAATAATTATTTTGAACAACACATTTCAAAGACTAATAGGTCGAAACTGTGTAATTTTTTCCGGTTTCGGCACCTTTGGTATCAACACAATCAGGGCATTGTTGGTGTCCCGTGGGGA